GCATGACATCGCATGCCATATATTGCGCCTATTTCTAGGTTACCAGCATCATTCCCTCTAGTGTGTAAATGGAGCGGGGGCAGAGTTTTAAACTTTCAAAATGTACCTCATAATGATGTTGTTGGATATAGATCAAGGTTTGATCACATTCAGAATGATCAGGTAACTCTTTAAAATCAAAGTTTTATTTTTTTTTTTTTTTTTTAGCATAATATGTTAACTAAAGAAGTTTAATTTTTTTTGTAGTTTTTATGGGCGCCATATGGAGTATTGCAAACAGCAATACCGATGCAAGCATATAGAGATGCTCTGCTATGGACATCATGCACCTCCATTATTTGTTTTGCAATTGTTGAATGGCACCAATCTGATAGAGTGAAATTGCAATTTCGTCTCTTCCAGGATGTCCCTTCTCCACCGAATAATTTGGATAACCTGCACAACATTGACATGAGGGGAAGACAAGATGAAAATTGGGTTACAAGACATGCTCAGTGGATCGACATATGGAACAATAGACGTGAGCACACATTGATGGGTCATCCAATGCAAGGCCCACTGTTTCACACACGAGAATACATGGAATGGTACATGGCCAATTCCATCTATTTTTTATCTGTGCCACGACTACTACAAGATCCAAGGACCCATCAACAACGAAGGACTTCCACAACATTTGAGACTGGTCGAACTTCCATGCGATCGCATGAAGAGACTGGTCAACATGTATCAAATCCTCAGTACGTCACTCCTGAACAAAACATAATTGACAGACGACATTCATTTGCAACAACTTCAGAGGATTTTTTTACAAATTTATTTGGAGTAGATTTTAGAACTCCATCTTCAGCACAATCATACATGCAATCTCTTTACCGTCCACAATTCGGTAATGAACCTGGAAGTTCTTCAGCACCATTTCAACATCCGGTGGTTGATGATGAAGCAAATCCTTCTGAGCAACAACCTCCACGGCGTAATCCAGGCCGTAATAGACGTCGCCCTCGTTGTGGAACTGGACACCATTACGGAGATTGAAAAATGTATATAAATCACTCTATGTTAATGTTATTGTTTTTTTATTCTAATGTACTATGTGTCTTTATCAATGTAATATGAATTTTAATATTATGCATTTTTACATGCGATCTAGACTAAGAAGGTTATAAACTATTATAATTATAAGTATTGTTGCGAACATAATATACGATTTCAACACAATATACGATTTCAACACAATATACGATTTCAACACAATATACGATTTCAACACAATATACGATTTCAACACAATATACGATTTTAACACAATATACGATTTTAACACAATATACGATTTTAACACAAACACAACGTACTATCCGATACTAACACAAAGTAATTAACTTTAATATTACATAACTAAATAAATTTATTACAACTGATTACAACAATAATGATCATTGGTGGCGGGAACTACATCCATGACTAATATTCGGACATGTCTTCCTAGTGTGACCAGGAGTGTGACAATAAGAACAATTTTTGACATGAGTATGTTGTTCTCTAATATCCATCTCTGTTCTAATCCTGGTGGACTTTGGTCGACCCTTCGAAGTTCTCTTCAGTTCTGGATTTGGCCACAAAGTTGGACCAGTGTAAGTAGGCCAATAATCTTCATGTCGAAGCTCTCCAAACTGTCCTTCGTATACCTTTGCAACTTGTTGTAAGGTATATATGGGAGATATGTACCTTTCATAGTCATGATGTGCATGTAAGCATGAAGCAAGCACATGTGAGCAAGGGATATGAACTTTTTGGAACTTGCCACAATCACACCACAATTCATCAAGCCTTACCGCAAATCTCCCAGCTGGTCGAACTTCTCTCGAATGTTGCGTTTCTTCCACTAGAAATCTACTGCTTGATCTGTCAAAGCTGATAACTCTATGAGTATTTGCCTTAGACTGTGCATCTTGAATAGTTTTATTTGCAATTTCCGAGTAGACATGTCCTGCATTAATCATTGCGCCCACTTCCGTACCTCTTTGAACGAAAAACTTGTTGCAACGAGTGTATGTGGCCATTACCATGGAACAAATTGGCAAATTTCGTGTTTTCTTCAATACGGAATTAATTGACTCAGCTAGGTTTGTTGTCATGTGTCCCCAACGTCGTCCATTGTCCCATGCTAGTGTCCATTTTTCCCTAGGAATGTTGTCTAACCATTGAGCTGCTTCAACATTAGTATCTCTTACTATGTTGTAATAGTAAAAGAATCTAGGTTCAGTCATCCCGTAGGCTGCAAAATAATAAAATTATTAAATAATTAAAAGTAATAATCAAATGCTTTAAAAAAAGTAATGATAAACTTACCCATATTGACGACATCCTTCTTTAGTGCTGCATTTTTGAACCGTCGCATGAAATTTTGTGCAATATGTCGAATACAATAGACATGAACAGAATTATTTTCCGTCCAGCCACTTCCATTTCTTGAGTATGCACTTCGAATAGCTTCATGACGATCAGAAATAAGGCACAACCCATCTTGCGGTGTTACATACCGCCTCAAGTTCTTCAGAAAAAAAAACCATGCATCACTAGTTTCACCTTCAACAACAGCAAATGCAATAGGAATTATGTTGTTGCGACCATCTTGCGCAACTGCGACCAATAGTGTACCTTTATATCTCCCATATAAAAATGTACCATCCACTTGTACAATTGGTTTGCAGAAGGCAAAACCATCAATGCATGGTTTAAAGGTCCAAAATAACCTTTTGAAGATAACACTCCCCTCGTCCAATAATTCACCTTGGTAAGCCGGTTGCGTATTTAATTTCCAAATAAAACCTGGAACATACATTTGCATTGCTTGCAACATACCTGGTAATTTGTTGTACGACTCCTCCCAGTTTCCAAAGATATTCTCAATGGCATGTTGCTTGGCTAACCATCCCTTTCTGTAACTAATTGTATAACCCATGGTGGACTTGATGTGGGCTATGATGGTTGAAATGGATGCCGATGGATCAACCTCAATAATTTCACCAATGCTTTGAGCAATCATTTGTGATCCCAATTTATTATGATCTTGGGAGATAAGTGGGGAAACACATGTGTGGGGGCCCTCAAGGATCATGATTTCCCAATGTTGTTCCCTGGTTCGCAATATACCACGACATCTCCAGGCACAGTCGTGGTGAACGCATTCCATAACAAGCCTACTACTGCTTGAATTTTTAACCTTGTAACTGCAATGGTTGACAATGTGAAATCTATTTATGGCATCCTGCATTTGTTCTTTTGTTTGGAAGCGTTGGCCAACAAATAGTGTTCCAGGTGGATACACAACCATATCACGCTCCAACAAATGGCTATACTCACTGTCTTGTTGGATTTCATTGGGAAACTCTAAAAAGTGTGGAGGTGGGTTGTATATGGCTACTGGTTGTGGTTGTAGTGGTGGATTATTTGGAATTGGGAGGGTTTCTTCATCATCATGTTCATGTGCAGAGAGAATTTCGTCTTCGTCCTCGCTAAAAGGATCAAAGACATTTTCTGTTGGGAGACCAACAACAACATCATCTTCAATGTTGGTTTCAACATTGGGTTGAGAAGCAGAAGGTCTAGCTTGCTCAAATGGCTGAGAAGGTATTTGATTAAGGTCCATGATTGGACCACTTAAAAGCTGTGTGTATGACTCAATGTTGTAGTTGGAGGGGATATCATAAGAAGGGCCAGATGGGTTAGTGTACTGGTAACTTTGATAAACTTCGTAAGGTGAACGTGAAGGTGAAACTTGTGGTGCATGTGATTCAACTGTAGTAAATGTAGCATATAATTCAATACCTGATTGAAGTTGATTAGAATCGTGAACATTGAAAACTGCCTCAACGTCTTCATCATCCGTCAACTCAACACAGGTATAGTTACTAACCCCTGGGCCAAGTCTAATAGGGTACCGAAAATGTATGCTAGCCACCCTCTCAGAATCTTGTCGATGTAGCTTTCTGTGGATGACTCTTTGAAGCCTTTCTAGAGTAATTCCTCTGTTGATACGAACTAATTTTGCAGATGGAGAAGAGAAGGTGATTCCTTCATTCGGACATTGGTTAATGGAACCATCAGAATGAACAATAACGTAGATTGAAGAAGCCATTTTATGAAAGGTTTAAAGGAAATTAACGTGATTCTAAGAAACTGATTCAAAAGGGGTACACGGAAGGAATAAAGGAGATAAGCTAATCTGAAATCGTGTGAAAAAAATGAAGGGGAGAGGGTCTATTTATAGAAAAACGCAAGTTTTTACTGTTTACCTAGAACGGGCCGTTCCAAAACCAGAACGGCCCGTTCCAAATCAAAAAAACTTTGTAAAAACAGCTCCTGGAACGGGCCGTTCCGAAGCCGTTCCAGGAGTAAAAAAAATGTGTAAATATCTATCTTGGAACGGGCTGTTCTAAAACAAAAATGGCCCGTTCCACGTTAAAAAAATTGCCACAACAATTTGTTTAAAACGGGCCGCTTCCAACATCTATTTCAACGTTAATTCTTAACGTCGGAACGGCCCGTTCTTGTCCCGTTTCACGTTAACAAATGCCACTCTGTTTCTTTAAGCAGAACGGCCCGTTCTGATTTCGGAACGGGCCGTTCCGCTTCCAACGTCAGCCCACGTCTCCCCTGCAAACACGAAAAAAAAATAAAATATAAAAGCAACTCAGAATTCGGTTCCCCGGGAACCGAATTCTGAGTTGAAAAAACAAAAAAAATACATTTTGGTGCTCAGAATTCGGTTCCCCGGGAACCGAATTCTGAGCTTGAACAGTGAATAGTTCTATCTGTGTAAATAAACCTGCACAGTGGTTATTTGAGTATTTTTTTTTTAAAAAATAATATTTAGGTAAAAAATTCTCTAGATCGGATGAGTATTTTTTTTTTAAAAAATAATATTTAGGTAAAAAATTCTCTAATCGTCGCCCAACGTTTTTTTTTTTCATTACTGATATTTTTCTTTTTATATGGACCATATTTTTTTTTTATCATAAGCCATTTTTTTTAATTATAAAAATTAGTAGAGTTAGGTCTTGATTGCTCAAGGTAAGATTTAAAGTCATACCGGTAAGAATTGAATTCATGTCCTTTTGAAATATAAACTTGTTCTTTATCGATTGGATTAAACTTTATTAGTATAAGTTATCTTATTTGAATATAATAAGTTCACTATAAATTTTTTTATCTAAGTATTTAGTTTAATTAAATATTTAATATTTAAACTTGAGATTAATGATTAAGTTATAGTAATCCGAATTGTTTTGTCGGTTAATTTTATTTTCTTCATGTATACAATTAACAATGAATTTCTCGTCGATATTCTTTAGGAAATATTGTTATTTACATTCTTTTCTAATCTACGTAGTGTTAAGGTGAAAAGTACCAAGTTTATAGGCATAAAGCATTTACGTTGTTTTTGGTACAATAAAAATATCCAAGAAATAAAGAAGAAAGGTGCGAAATAGGTTAAAAAAAAAACATTGAAGATTATTTAGATGTGCAAAATTTGTAAGCAAAAAAAGAAAAAAAGATGCGATCTTACACGTTTTTATTGTTTTACAAATCAACGTGAAAATGAACACTACAAACGTAAAAACTTTTCGTATTTAAATAAATGTTACACACAATCAAACAATACATTCTTGAAATGGTTATTCATGTAAAAAAAATTTATTTGAATAAATTAAATTTTATTCGATTACATTTTTGAAAAAATTGGAATACAAATCGGTTTTGAAACGTCGAATATAAATTATTTCATTATAATATTGATATAATTTTTTCAAATGATTAATGTTCCGGCTAAAGGGTGAACTAGGATTTCTTCTTAGGTTAAGCCTTAGAGCCAGAACATTCAAAAGTGTAATCTGCCTGCTTAGCTTTAAGGTTTTAGGTTTTATAGTTTTTTGTTCATGGGCCTCGTGGGCCCCAAGATTTCTGCTTAGGTTAAGCCTTAGAGCCAGAACATTCAAAAGTGTAATCTGCCTGCTTAGCTTTAAGGTTTTAGGTTTTATAGTTTTTTGTTCATGGGCCTCGTGGGCCCCAAGAACGTGGGAATTTCCATGACTGTTTTTATTTGAAAAATATTTGGTAATTAAATGTGGGATTCATTTTGGAACTGCATCTATGTGAGAAGGTTGGATCGGATTTTGACCGAGATCGCCCATGTGTACCGTCCATATCGGATTATGACCGATCAGACCCATGTATAGAAAGCAAGTCGGGC